AAGTGTCTGGAAGCTACTGCACATCAACTACGCGTCAATCGACAGAGCCCAATGTACTGAATTAAAACCAATGCAAAATCCCATTGAAATTCTACAGTCTTGGCCTGATTCCACGCATACACCTTACACGAAGAATATCGGAGATATTCGAAACGAGTAAGGTCATATCAGGAATCGTAAGGTTACAAGAGTCCTTCAGAGTTTTCGATGCCGTAGAAGAAACAACAATGGTCTATAAATTGGTGACGGGTGAATTTTTCCCGTTACGCTCTTCTAAGTGCCCTCGATTTCAACTAACAGGTTTATAGTACCATTGTTATGACTATTCACAGGCGTGATTTCATCGAGTAGTTTAAGCATCCACGTATAAACATCTAAAACAATGTACCCAATTAGATGTATCGAACTGCTATCTGTTCGTCGCTTTGGCTATCAGCTGCTATTCCCCGTGCTTGAAGATCATTGTTAATTCTTTTAAGTCTCCCGAATGGGCCGAATAAGAAACAGGTTAGATCTTTATAAGATAAACTTATAAAGATCCTAATATAAGTAAAAAAAAACACATTTAATTAAAAAAGATACAGAGAATCGCAGACAAATATAGGCTGAAAAGGCAAAGATTAGATTACTATGTCTCTGATATTATAATCTGAATGAGAGAAACGTTAGTAGTCTAAGCATAAGGTTTGCTATTCGATCCTCGAAAAAAGAAGCCGGCTAAGTACAATTTTTTGTTGTTTGTGTAAGATGAAAGATACGGTATTAGCAAGATCTAAGACAAACGAGCAAAACAATAGCGAGACTTTTCGATTTATAATCGTTTAATTAGATTAGAGGAGCCTTGAATATCGAAAGATCATAATTAGATCGTGTCCAATTCGTAATTTATTACTGTTTGCTTTGAAAAACTGAAGTAAATGTCTATTAGAAAATCAAAAACGAAGCATTTATTTTAGCTAATCACATAGAATACAGGTCTACAGCTAAAACTTTATTAGGCTTGTCCAAAAGAATTAAACATTTTTTGTCCAACTGTTCGGAGACCCAATACTCAAAAAGACAAGGCAAGAAACCACACGATATCCGTACCCAGCAGATTATAATTTTCATTCTAAAATAGTTTAAAGTATTTATTTGAAATATTTTCATATCTTTAAAGGCTGATTTTTATATTGCGTTTATAGTAGGGCCTATTGTTACTTATTTAGCATAAATGTTAATTCACAAATTGCTTGCCAGCGCTTTTTGTTTCATCTGTCAGAGTCCGGTGTTTTGTATAAATTGCTCCTATTGATTAAATTTGAAGCAATGCATTTTTCACAATAAACCCATCAGTGTCTCGGACAACGACCCGCGTCGTCTGTCATGCCACGCTTGGTCTTCTTTACCTACATTTGATTCATTATTCCGTCTCATACCATCCATCACACAGGGTTTACGGGTGCAGAAGAAATCGACAAACGTGTCCACTTATCTTTTATATATATTTATTCTAGAATATATTCTACGGAGCAGAAACGCACGAGGGAGTTACAGATAATCTGCAAAAAACAGTTGAACGGAAAATAACCACAATAACAACAAGCACAACAAAAGTTATTACCTTAGCATCTATTATAGTTGCTGGATATCCTCTTTTAGGCGGTCGGCCGTTGTGTCAAATGAACTATATTCATGGTAAAGAGACCTCCAGTATGAGTTGGCTTACTCCAACAGTTAACTAGCTACCAGCAAATCGTCTTTGATGGTTGCCGTAGTTTGCAATATGACAACGATGTATGGACCAATGCACAAGGGTGGCGACAAACATACGCTATGCAAAAACAGCTCACAATGTCAGCGAACGACAACACTTGAAGATACATTATACAAATGTTTGTCACCGTGTCATCATCTGTTATAAGAACGCTGAATTATCACGGCCGCTGCAGCTGCAATCGTTACAGCCGAGTAGCAATAAATTATTGTAGTCGTTATTGTTGGTGTTGCCATCGATATCGATCTTATGTCGTCTGCTCTTAAACTCCACCGCAATATCATCATAGACAATTTTTCGCGCGTCATTCAAATTTTAATTTTAGATTTGTTTCGTAAGCAGCGCCACTCTTTGTGCACGTCGTTACTTGAAAGATCGTTGGCATCGTTTTGCTGTACTGCTGCGAGTGAAAGGGGCTCATAGGTAAAAAATGTGGATACATGAAAAATTTACTCAAATCTGATTGAACGAACTTTTTAATTCTTTGTTTTATCTTGTTAGCAATTCCATTACGATTTCTACGTTATATCAGGTAAACTCAATATATTATCTGCTATGACTGAGTAGCATTTCGTGTAGTCCAATATACGTACTAATATACTATTGTTGAAATTATTTCTATTCAATCAACTAATATCGTGTGACGATTGCCAGTTCGTATAGACAGCGTTATCACCTTCGAGAGGGGTAAATATGCTGGAGTCGGCCGGCCTCTATGTATTGTGCTAACGCCCTGAACTTTTTGTTTAGATCATTCACGATACATGAACTTGGCAATAAATTTACCCTCCTATGCCTATTTGGTTGAACGTGGTGTCATTAACTACAATGCGCCGTGAATATTCGTATCTGTTTATATCATTCTCGACTTATTATTATATGATATAAGCAATTTTGCAGAAATTTTGCTTTCTTAGCAAAACAACCTGCTTTTGAAGCATTTTGCGCAAATCCGCAAAATCGATAGATTTGCTTCCACCATTATACTCCGAGTTCTTCCATAGATTTGACCTAGACTACTTTTTTTCTTATAATAGGAATAAGTAGCACTACTATCTCTACACTGAGCATGTTCTATTAGTAGATATCCGTACCGTATAACACTACGCACGGCAGTAATTGAATTACTGAAGCGTTTTCCTCAGGGCAAAGATCCTTATCCCAAGCTCTGCATCCATAAGATACAGTATTTTTTCGAGCGGTTTACCTCTTTGCTAAGTATATGAAATTCCATGTTAATATAGTTACGTTCCGCGATATCTACCTCTTTTCGTTTTAATGTATATCATAACTAACAATGGTTGTCGTTGGCAGACTCAGCATCTAGTTCCTGTCATTATCCTGAAAGTGATACCATCATCATTGCAGTTTGGATATCACAAAATCCCGTCGGCCGTTTGCTCCGAACGATTAAACGACACGGCATAGCGGGTTTGTATTCTTAAACAATTCGATACTCGAGAACAATAGGTCATAATAGATAGCGAATGTGTCTAGGGAGCTTTATCTCGCTCGGATCCGACGGCGGTCCGACGCCAGAGTAGTAAACAGTACACGATTGCCGCACGATATGCGTGAGTATCTCTTGCTATTATTTGGGTTACATTTTATATCGCTATTAGTGTGTTGTGTTGTCGGGGTTCCGGAAAGATACTTTGTTTGATCTTCTGATCCAGTTGCAATTATAATCCCGTACACGTTGTACCGGTAACGCGACGAGACCAAGAGCATGATTCACATATCTACGCTATACGTACCCGTTAGCCAGTAATTACGGAAAAATTTGCTAACGACCCGTTATTTCTCAAGCATCTAATAGATTAGCAAATGCTCGTGTGCGAGTTAGAGGAGAAACGACTCGTTCAACAAAATTGAGAGAGTCATATAATTTTTGTACTCGAAAGAAGCTTGACAAGTCTGGATACGATTATATATACAGGTTGGAAAATACCGAGTCATTAGCCAACTAGGTTTTTAATGGCAAAGACGCTGTACCGATGCTGTAGCAATCGATAATTGAAATGAATTCAATTGCTAATAATAGTTGGTTATTATTATCATAATATAATGTTGACTAAGACATTAAGAAGCTGCCTCCTTGTGAAGGAATTATCCAAAAATGTGAGAAACAAAGCTCCGTAGACAACGGTAGGATGGTAGAAAAAGATACGCTGATACGATACGAATAGCACTTATTACTTCAGGGACGAGGGTACATTCTATGTTTAACCTCATTCAGCCCCAACTAGTCGCTTTTGAAGTACTTTTTTCCTGCGTGAACGTGCGTAAGCATTAACTCTAGTCATGACTTCTGCCCTGTGCTGACTCACACCCTGTCCGAACGTTCTCATCATCTCAGCGTAGTGGTGGTAGTCTGCATATCTAAATTTCTAGTAGGGAAAAATATAGGGATCGTTGGTGTAAGCTGTGCCAACGACTTGTACTTCGCGAAAAAATCTAATGAATAAATAAACAAACAAACAATATGTTTTACTATTGGTAAAAAAATTGTGCCTGGTTAATTACAACTAACAGCCGGGAACCAGGCGTGGGGGGACGTGTCGTTGGTATTTTACTAGTTGACGAAATGAGAATGAGTTTGACTTTGACAGTGTAATAGCAATAAAACTAACGGGTTACAGAATACAAGCCGTTGCTCAAGGACTCCTGAACTTTCAGAACCTTTGGTATTTCGTTCGTGGCTATATTATGCAAAATTAATTGGCGCCGTACACAGGAGCTGACTAAGGTCCTGTGTGAGGTGCCACGAAATAGAAGCAAGTGTAATGACCTAGCCTGAAATCGCGGCCGTCATATCAAATTTGTCTGACTTTTAACTATGCATGGGGTACATGATAAGGTCTCACACGCACTTGCTGGCCGATAGCAGGGCGACACCAAAGAAGATTACACCGAGGATTCAATATAAATAATTTCACCTGAAATAACATCCATACGGTTAACAGTAGGAAAGACAAGTTGGACTGAGGCATTAAATAGATTGTAATGATAATGAAATTTATTCGTAGAGATGAGATATAATGTAAACCAGGTTCGTATCGATTGAAAGGTTGTGACTTTGCCGTACCTTCGTACCTGGGGATTTGGTGACCTAATGTTGGGCTATATTTTGCAACTGATTTTATTGCTCCCTGCTTCGTCTTTGAATGATCCGAATGTAGTAACTAATAACAATAACCTAAACTAACCGATGACCAATTCACGTTTTTGCGCATTCTCCGACCCTTCTTGCTAAGCCATTTTCAGAATGAGAAATTAACCTTTGTCTTATTATCAGTTCTTCGTAAAGCGGGGGGTTTGGATAAAATTAAACTTAGACGTTTACAGGTTGGTCTCTTATCGATGCGCCAATTACTTTTTGTATTCTTAATAGATATATCAGAAACGAAAAACAAATGAATCATCGGTATCTTATACGTCTGGCATCGCAATCAGCTTTGACTCTTGTTGAGTCTACATAATATCGGGTAGCTTACTTACAGTCGTTTATACGCGATCGTATTCTGTTACGTGCGAATGTGTGTGAATAAGGAAAGTTATTCAAACTCACTAAAGTTAGTCCAGTCCTAGATAGAAAAGTTAATATGATAACGTTTTCTGGGTAATATGTCATTGATACAGCTCTTCTCCCATTTGTTTAAATGCTCCTGCAAAACGGTTTATCATATTATGGGAAGAATTAACTGTGTGCGAATTGTTTGGATATAAAAAATCGCTGGCGCAAATAATTACAGGTCTGTGAAAAAATCAACCATCAAATTGTTGGCTTTGTAAAACATCTTCAAGCAAAAAGGAAAAAAGGGGCAAAGGAGTTGCTTAGAATATCCCCCATACTCCGTCGACTGAACCTTGAGGGTTGACGCAACTAAAATAGAAACACTGAAAATGTAGAAACTATGTTCCTCTTAAGGGTATGCCTAACAAGTTATTTATTTAATATATTGTATCACAATTGCTTTCCTATATTGAGATAAATAACAAAAAGGCGCAGTATTGACAAGTTAATTGTCGTTATTAAAGGTGCTTGGAACTTGGAAGGTGCTAGTCTTTATCTTATCGATCAGTCGAATCAATTGGAAATTTCTTCGACTACGGCGAGATTAGATGCCAGAAAAATGTTTGCTATATCGGAAGCGACTTTTTTTCTGTAGTCTTCCGCCGCCGTAGCTCCTTATTCGGTCACTTCGCTATTCTGACTGGTACGCTCATATTTGGTAATAGCAATAGTTTTGGAAATATTGTATATAGTATAGGTAGGTTGTCAATATCATTAAACAGATTTTGCAGAATATCCAATACATAATTATATATTACATTATTATGTATTTTTATTGTAAAAAATTACGAACAGATAAAGTTATTATCGTAGTATGATAGCGTATTTCAAAGTTGCATCTAAAGCATAGGATAAAATAACCAAGGTTCTTCACTGTGCTCAAAACCTCACTCTATTTTTAAATTAGAAATCACTTCAGATCAATAAATTATTTACTCATCGTAATAATTCTATAAAACCGACATCGGCCACACGCTGGTGTTCCTGCCCTCCGTTCAGATCAACTACAAACAGGCTGACAAGGTAGCATAAAATACCTGCGGAGTGCTCATCCAACTCGTTATAACGCAGCTGTTCACATATGGTCGTTGGAGACCCACGCGGATCACTCATCTCTCTGTCACTGGGTTCACGGAGCCGGGACATCCTGTGCTGCTGAATGGAATCCTGGGCTCCAGACTCTTCGGATGTGCTTCGGAGGGAGATAACATGAATCAATACGATGAATAGTAAATCGAGAATAGCTAGCCCACAAGGTAATATGAAACAGTAATGCATTATATTGATATATACGTCCTGAGTCACTTGGTACGAGAATTGCCCTTGTCTTGTCTCTAATCGAGTAACATTAAGCGTTTTCACAATCATAATTAGGTTTGAAGGTCAACTTTGCTTTTGTAGAGAATATGATAGATTAAAACAATGACTGTTTAGGTACAGGGAGGGATACAGATGTGGTAACGTGGCTACGAGGGCGAACAGGTGCGCACCCGGCGGCTTCAGGAATAATAAAGCACAAAGAAATTTCAGTGCTGGCACTTCTAATGCAATCTACGCCTGGGACCTTTAGTACCATGAAAACGCTGAATGCTAATAAATGTACTAGCTTAAAATCCTTGCCCCTGTTTCTAAATTCGCATTTGTTTTTATCATTATATCAGTCTATCATCACAAGGACGAATATGAGAAACTGCTGATTTTCGATGTTACAATACGGTGTTTTCGACCCTGAAGGTATCAGATATGCTACCGTGTCTATGGGGACTCTCCAAATGTTTCTAGGCCAAAAAAGTGCAGGTAGCTGGGTCCTTTTCTAATACAAATAAACAAAAACCGAATTCGATTCGCTTGCGAAGGGATCGGAACTATTTCGACTTACAAATCTACGAGTGGTGTCATTGGAATATCACACAAGCACACCTTCGTTCGCGGGCTGCTAGAGCCTATCGCCACGATGCAGACGGGCAGCGCCTTCAAAGACAACCTACCACTTGTATGAAATTTCAAATGAAATAACTTACCTCCTCACCCCTACGTAGGGTGTGGTGCTGGACAATATCCTGTTATAGCTTCGTGTTCTATTTTGGGCAGAATCTCCCATCATTGATCTTCGATATTTAGAAACGTCCATCTTTGTAACAAAGAATGTACATCGATTTATAGTTTAGAAGCTTTTATGGCGACGATGTGGCGCCATTATAGATCAATAACGGATGACTGGATAGCGTCACGTGGTTCGAAGCGACTCTGTTTCTTCAGGAGTGTGGCAGTCTATAATCGGTTAGAGAGGAGAGCGAAAATAGCATGGCTGGATCGGTCTTTTACAGGAATCGAACTTCGACACTTCTTGGACACGCTTCATAACGCGCTGCCCACGAAACAAGTTTTTTGCTGATTGCTGTTTGTTACATGTTTATTAATGGTCGAGTTTTCTGCAACTCTGACATTTTGCCTATCGCCATCACTTCTTCTATTGGTACGAGTGCTTTATGTTCAGATCTAATTTTTCGGCGCGCCGGAACGTAAGTGAGTTTTATCAAAGACAGAGCGAATAGCGGACGACGCTCTTATAACTATAAACAGTAGATGGAGTTTTGTATTATTGAAGAAAAAAAAACGTAAGCATGAATAAAGATAACAAAAGAGGAGAATTTTTATATTGTACAAAGTTGAAAAGGTTTCTCAATAACAATAATAATATTGAACAGTAAATAGTAATCAATTGATTTGTATTATTAGAATGATTTTAAGTTAAGGAAAAATGCGTTTATTTTTGTGTTTATCAGGTTTCAATGATAATTCCCAAACTCCTTGCTCGGTATTCGAATTGCGTGCGTTTAGCGTCTTGTCTGAAAATGCCATATTTACCAGAGTAAACTTATGACGGGGTATGCACTCGCGTGGTGTCAAAAGGCTTTAGCCCACTGAACTGTTAGTTGCCGGGGCTAATAGAAAACTAAAGGCTACGTCTTATCAGCAGTAGAATTAACTTATCATTTTATAGCGTTTAATAATGGTTATCACATATATGTCAATAGAAAAAGAGAGTGTAACCGTACTTTTTTTTTTTTGGTACGCTCGACATAATGCGATAAGGTAAAAATAACTTTAACAAGGAAATGTTAAGTTTACTTTTTCACTAAACATTTGTGCTATGTCATCTTGAACAACCGACATTTTTAAATGTATTTCAGTTTATATATATATATATATATATATATATATATATATATATATATATATATATATATATATATATATAGCTAATGCAAGTACATATTTTTTTGAGAGGAGGCTAGAAAAAATATGATATAGTCTTTGCATACATACATCAACACTTTTAATTATTGCTTCTCTAACGAAAAAAATTCAGTCCTAAATGCATAAATGGAAACATAAACGCCACTAGGCTATAGATAAATTCAAGGGGGTCGATGTTTTGCCAGTCATCGAATGTACAGAAGCGGCGAACCGATCCACAAGCATTTTTCTCGCTACCTTCACGATGTTTCCTATTCAAGTCTCTCAATTCATAACCATTCTACGAAAACATCAGACCACCTTACTACGGTAGGACGCAAGCGGTTCCTCAACATCCGCCAATGATTTAGCATTCGTTTTCTAGAGCAGATCGCGTAGCGTCGCTGTCGTTACTGTCTTTGTTGCTATTTTATCTGCCGCTAAGGAGTCAGCCATCCGAAATATTCCCGAAGTGGTCTACCTCTGAGCGTCAGGAACCAGCACAAGGCTGAGTGACCGCGCTTCAATTGGCGTCTTTGCGTGGCTGGGGTGCGCTGTGTAGTGTAGCCAACTGAGAAAACATATTATAGTGAGCAAACACACAAAAAAAAACGCCGACAACCGCGAATAAACATGACGCCGGAAAAAACGAGTAATCCAAGAGCAAATTTACACCCGAACTAACTCATGGCAGGACGTTGCTGTCAGGTCCGATAGACAACGAGGCACAACTGATGATCACTGAGGCTATGCTTAATAAACGTGGATGGATTCGCCGGTTGAAGTATGAAGCCCAACGAATATTTAACCTAGGTATAACGAAAAGCATGTAAATATTACGTAGCATCTTCTTGTAGATAATTGATAGAAGCCTCGGAGTGTGTAAGAGAGTGAATTTTTCTCGTTGTTCATTGACGAATGACAAGAAAGTAAATAGATTCGTACTTGAACAAGATGCTTCATTCCTATATATATTTCAGTATAATAAATAACGTAAATTTTGTTTGGGTGAGCAACAGTGACTCTGTTATAATTTGTATTTATCGTTATTATCATTCCGCTCTTTCATCATAAGATATTATCTATATATAGAACAAGTAGAAGTAGTGCCTACTGTAAATAACAAACATTATTAGAATAATATGTTTCAAAAGGGAAAATGGGTGTATAGTCTGCTTTACATACATGAACTAGTTATCTGGAGGTGATACAGTTCACACACAAAGCTGTCAGGCTCGATTGGCAACTAAAGTTGGGCTTTCGATGTTATAGACCCATCTTATTCGAAATTATTCTTCTGATATTTATTACAGGTACAATTCACGATCTGTTAATCCACAAGCTAAGCAGAGCACATTTTACCTGTTTATTTAACGCTTTCGGAATAGAACTTCACACACAATCGAACAGGAAGAAAACGGCCTTCATCCTAGTTTCACCCTATTCAAACTATATCTAATTAATCTTGCTCGAGTCAGTCATGTAAATAAATAAGTTGGTTTTACCTAATGTCAGAAAACGTTAAACTTTACCGGCATTTTTTAGTAGTGATAATATGCTCGTGAACCCTTCCACCCATCCAAACGATTCCAGTTTAGTGTCGAGCTGCCTCACAAATTAACCTGTGCACTCAGTTGAGGCCTGTCTACTGCCATTCGGTATTCGTTGATCATTTATTAATATAATAGTAGGCGCACTGTTATGAAGGCCGTTCTAAAATGCCACTTCCACAGGGTCATTTAGCGTATTCGTAGTTTTATCTATGTCTATATCTTAGAGGTGTCTATAGTACACATACGATAAGGACTAATGGTAGAACTTCGCTCGATCCGAGAAAGTTTAAGATGTCAAATTTCAGACTTGTACGCAAAAGTTCCGTCGGCGTTCGACTGCTGATGATGCTGGGGAGACTCACACTAGCGCCTTGCTCCGTCCGAAGTTTTCTGGCATTATACTCATTATTGGCTAGCAACATAAGCAAGACGCAGAGCTAGCAGTCGGTCAGTGGGCGAAAAGTTATCAGTCGGGAAAGCGAGCGATAAACAAGAAGTTGAACGACTCCTGAATGCTGGACTCGCCATTGGGCGGCCAGGCAGAAAAGGCAGAAATTGCGTCAGCGACCCAGCTTCTGCGTCAGGTTTATATTTACTATATTTGTGTATATCCAGCATACTGAAACGTTGATATTTGAGTACTACGACCACAAGCATATCGTTACGATACCATGTGACTATTTTATTGGTTCATGAAAATGGGGAGCTGCTTGATGTGACGCGGTAAATGGCCAGCAAACAGCTGGATACTGGCAAAGGGTGAAGCATATGTCCGTGTTATCGGGAGGCACCCAGCTGGCAAACTGGCCTATGGATCAAACTTAATTTGTTAACTAGCTAAACAAACTAGAGCCAAACGTGTATACACTGCATCTTCTCGTAGAGATAAATTGAGTGTCGCGCGGCTGGTTCTAGCGCTATTTAACAAACAAGCGTGCGTCACAGCAAACAATATATATATATGAAGCAAAGAAGATTATTTATATTTAGTAAATAATAGGTGGTGGCTGATGGACGGAACAGCGAATGAACGAATAGTTTTTACTTAGTGGCTTTCGTGCGCTTGTCGTGAAGAGCCTGTCATTTTTCGATTGCAATAAAGAAATCGAATGTAGGGAAAAACAAGAAGAACACCAGGCTGATTGTTTCGTTTTTCCCCATTAACATATACCAGGCAAGGATAACAGCATGGGTTTTTTTGTCGTCACTTGTAAGCACTGGATGTGCCAATTGGCTTGATCAGCGAGTTCGCAGCCTATGCCATTGATCGTGACGGTTTCGTTCCTTAGCTTTCCACACCTTGAGTAAACGGAATCTTCCTATTGAAATAATGAACCATCGAGCCGACAACGTCGTCTCTTGTCTTAACCGCTGCCGATTCAATTGGCACGTGCATTTTGTCCGGGATCCCATTTCTTATTGATGTCGACAAATTTATAAGGAGGGCATGCGCTCTTCACGGTGCAGTTTTCCCTGTATCCAATCAGGAAGACTGGAATCGACCATGAATAATACGATGTTGTAAAAGACAACAAAAGCTTGCTGATAGCAGCTCTCTTCTTGTGCTTTAGCTTTCCTCTGAAAAAAAAACTCTGACCTTCGAGAGTAGCTAGCCAAAGCGGCCGTCCCACGCTATAGTGGCAAGCGTCTATTCAGTAGCCTTTTGCGCCAGTTATGGCGGTGTTGGTAAGCTTGCCAGTCTTGCCTCCAGCAGCAGCAGCAGCAGCAGCAGCAAGCAGAACAAAAGAAGAAAACGAAAAGAAGGATATAGGCGAACAAACATATATATGTGTTCATTATTACTACGTGCTTTATCAGTTTCTGACAGAACTTGTGTAGGTGGAGATAAGGGAAAATCTACGGGAAGAAGCTAAGTAGTAAGTTCTGAGGCAATAACTCCGTAAATAATGAGCCGAGAGTAAAACTTGAATTTATTTAGATGTACGCGCGTTGAAAGGAAGAGACAAGCGGACAATATGTTAAGTGAAGACAGCAAAAAAAACAGTTGTGTGAGATATATTGTACTATTTAGACCTGACGCGATCCGAACTGTATCACGCCATCACCAATGTAGTTTTGCTTTCGCCCGAATGCAGGTGGCCAGTCAAAACGTCCGATGCCTCGTTCTTATAGCACTCGTTTGACATTCGCTCTCAAGCTAGTTGAAGATAGTTGGGGGTTAACAACCAATAGCAGTGCCTCACACTCTAAACATAAAGTAACCTTCAACCCTACCTTGAATAAACAAGCTATGCAATGACTCTAAAGGCTACTGTTCAGGGTTTTTCGATTTTCTATTTCGGTTTTATTTCGATATTTATTCGAAATTAGATCTTTTGAAGCAACAAGCTTTATGCTTTCTCTGCCATAATGTAAAGCTTGTCACTATAAATAGCTAACTTGATCTTAAAGTTTGCAGCATTGCAAGTTAGCTGACAATTAGCCGTAAAAAACGGTGTTAGAATTTAATTTTGCCCATTTTTAGCTAAGTAAAGCTTGAAAGTCACCTAAGATTGTTATTAAACACGCCTATTTCAAATTCAATTATGGCCATGGGGGACCTGCTAGATGTCATTTTGTCGTAATAGAAAACCAGTAGAATCATATCCATTTATTACTCTACATACATTTAAAATAAATACCCTCTTGGCTACACATAGACTGATTACTATTATTTTATCGAACGTGTTTTTTTTTTTGCGAAAAATTG